TACAACATTAGAAGTGGTACAAACAAAATGGTCAGTGATTTTAACAGTGGATTTAGGACCGACAACAGAAGTGTGAGAGGCTATGTGAGGACAATTATAACAACGTTTACGAGAACAGCGAAAAGTACCAGGTTCTTTGTTGGAGGGAAGAACCCCCTTGACCAAGAAAGAACGAAGATTACGATCACGTTTATAAGAAAAAAGAGGGCGGTTGTTGAAAATAGCAGAAGTGCGAGTATCARAGTCAAGCAGAGAAAAGTTGCGGTTAACAATGGGTTTAATGGAATTGTTAATAGGATGATACGTAAGCCGAGTGAAAGGAATGCGATCATTAGAGGGACGAGTGTGAGGAGTGAGTGCGGTGGTACGAKCAATAGAAGAAACTTTGCGAATGGCGCGATCAATAACATGAGCAGGATAATTACGCTTAAGGAAGAAGGAACGCATCTCATAAAATTTAGCAGAAAAATCAAGATCATCACTACACATACGACGAAGACGAAGAAATTGCGAGAACGGAATAGCGTTAAGAGTGTGCTTAGGATGMGAAGACGAGTAGAGTAAATAAGAATGAGAGTCAGTAGGTTTGTARTGGACACTAGTGCTAAGACGGTCGTCATTAACACTAAGCAAGATGTCAAGGAAAGTGACTGATGTTTCACTAACCTCCCACGTWAAGTCTAAGGCAGGGTGAAAAGAGTTAACAAAAGAGATGAAAGAATCTAAGTCATTACGAGAACAAGATGTAGCATCAATACAATCATCAATATACCGTCCAAAAAACTCAGGTTTAGGTCCAGTATATTGTTGAAAAACAAGGTTTTCGATATAACCAACAAACGAATTGGCATAACTAGGGCCCATCTTAGTACCCATAGCAACACCGTTTACCTGCCGATAATACCGATCACCGAAAGAAAAACAATTAAGAGTAAGAACAAGTTCAGCTAAGCGTAACAAAGTGGGAGTGCTGGGCTCGAGGACAGGACGAAGATCGAAAAAATGCTGAAGAGCACGAAGGCCCTCATCATTAGGAATAACAGTATACAAAAATTTGACATCCATAGTAAACAATAGCTTAGAAGAGTTATCAGGAAAGCGAAAATCATTAAAAATACTAAGAGCGTGATTATAGCACTCAATCACACTCTTATCACTCTTAGTATCATGAAATTTCACTATTTTTTTTAGAAAAGCAATCAGGAAACACAATGGCCTCAAACAACGAAATAAAAATCCGCAACAATGAGGAAAAATAGCAGATTTAGAGAAACAGTTGAGGGTATGTCTCGTGAAAGAAAAAAAACTTGAAGATGAGATCAAAGCTTCAGAAAAGAAAATGGAAGAGGAGTATAAAAAAAGAAAAGCAAGCAAACATAGTGTGCTCATTCTTACGCAAGTTGGCACAACCATGCAGAGAAACATGTGCAAGTACGTCCTGGGAAAATACTTTAAAACCTGGCGTTTCTACAAGTTTAAAAAAATTAACAGCTACATTGAAGAACTTGATGCGCCAACGGCCGACCAAATTTCAGCAAGACAACGGCTGACGGAGTTGAACCAAAAGATTTCTTGGGACCAAAATTTGGTGGATAGTCTTAAAAACCTTAATCAAACGAGAATCGGTATTGCTCATCCCGAGCTAAGCAGTGAAAAGATCCAAGAAGCTACAGAGTTTTTGAGAAAGGAAGGAGAGTTGGACGACGAGTGGTTCGACATATTAAACATACTGAAAGGACAATGGGAAATCTCCGAAGATTTTTTAAAGTAAGTTTTTATTTTGTAAATTAATGCCTTCGAAATCCGGTAAAATGTCTCTGATCTGGCCGGCTATGATTTTCATCGAACTTGTTATGGGTGAATTCTACAGTACTGATTTACCATTAGCTATACACTTATTTCAAAAAAATGTTGTCGGTCAGAAATCTGAAATCTGAGACCGAAAGGAATTGTGGGTTGTACGCTGTAAATTGTTTGAGATTTTAATTAGTAGTTCGCAAAAAGGTCAAATCCTGATATACTAACTTTGAGCGATGACCTGTCAAACTGTCTGGGTAAGTGTACGTTTATTGAATTTTTAACGAGAAAACACTCAGTCCCCCACAATTCTATGAATCGGTCTCAGATTTCTGATTTCAGATATTCAACCGAAAAGGTTTTTTTGAAATAGGTGTATATGATGTCGTAAAAGTTTGGAACATGCCTTTCTGGGATACGGAAAGCGTCTTTTGTTTAGATTCCAAGGTTCTCGTTGATATCATGTAACCTACTTCTCCGTTATCATGACAATTATCTTACAGGAGAGTCAAAGAGGGTTGAGATTCAGGTGGTTCAAAGTTTGCGCCTGCCACTGGACGAAAGCGTGGTGCGTATTCAAAGAAGGCCGCTGGTGGAATTGAGAATCTTTCTCCAACTAAGAGAGCTAAAAAGTTTCAGTGAATTCCTTTTTCATTCTTGGATCTATTTTCTATTTGTTTCCAATGTTCTCGTTGGTAAAAACGTCTCCAACGTTCTTGACAATATTATGTAATATAAAATAGATAATTGCTGATGCATTAAAGAATCCTAGTCGACTACGATGCACTGCGCGCCGGAAACAATGCAATGTATGTAAAGCGGCATTTTCTCAGTCACTTTATGCTTTCCGTGAGATCTTATAAATTTTGGCAACGAAGATAGATTTTAAAAGTTGTGATGTCTAACAGTTGGACGACCGAAAAATCATAATGTCAGAAAGATAATCTCTCTGAAATTTAAATTTACTTGTTATAGAACGAAAGGAAGGAAACTTTGGGAATTTGAAAACTTTCGCATAATGAATTTGCAGAAATGTTGCTCCCCCAGAGCTTTGAAAAGCTTCGAGAACGATGTAGGCAAACGATTTAACAATAATATAGGCGCGCAGTGCATCGTGGTTGACTAGGATTTTTTTAAGTAACATGTGTCAGTTTACGATTCCTTGTAATTACACATTGTAGCTGTTTGTATTGCTTGTAGTATACGTTATTGATTTTACGTCGACGTTTATAAGAAGAATTCATAATGATAAGTCGGTCAGGGAGCCGAAAAACGAAAGCACGTATTGAAGAAAGTTTAGAAGAGTTACTCAGGCCAGCAGCAATCATTCTTGTCAGAGGATGGACCTCTTTAGCGAAAAAATTAGATGCTCAGAAACAGTGYGTCGAAAAATCCGSATGAGGGACGATMTCGCGAAATTATACAAAATTTTAATGTATGTAATATATTTTAATACATTTTAAGGACGGATTCAGAATTTTGGCTACCGGGGATCTCGAACCACCAATCAGTATGAGTCTTTTTGCAAAAAAGGGGGCGGGGGTGGGGCGGTGGCTTTTTAAATTTTAAATACAATTTTCAATTTTTTTGTATATATGTATTTTACGTGCGTGTGCAGACAGTACTTTTTCGCTCTTTGTGAGCTCATCAGTGCAGAACAGAGGCGAACCTCGTATATCAAACAAGCAGTTTTTTTAAAAAGGTTTGCTGTACCATGCCAAAGTGCTCCAACTTCAATATATCGCATGATATTTGTACTCCCTCTGGGCTTTCTCCTCAATATTTTTACTCACTCAACCCTTCCTAACTTTAACCTGCAGTAAATAGGGAACGGCCTTCGGCCTTCAGCCTCATGGCTATTAATTAACTCGTAGACCATTCGGGCTGCGAGTCTAATTGTTAAATAGTCAGATCTTCGGCGTTGCTCGGATGACCACCTAATGGCGGTTACGTCTCACTTAGAGACGTTAAAAAAGAGGGCGACAAGTTTATCAGCTAGTAAGTAAGTAAGTAACACTTTATTTAAAAAGGGAACCGTAATTACAGAAAACTGTACTCTCCCTTATATCCCTAACAAAAATATAGAGATATATTACAATAATAAAAGGTAATTAAACAAAAAATGCAAACATCATAAAAGATAATAAATTAGAGGATACAATTTGACAAAAATTACAAGCATGTATAATACATTAAAGGTATTCAAGTTTTCAAGAAGGCTTGGACCAAGACACATGGCAACATGCACCACCACGAAAGTGGGAACAAGGTGCATGTGCATTGTAACCTGATCCAAGCCTTCCTGAAAACATATGATCTAAATAAAAATATGAATATGAAATTATTGTATGACAAGTCGGCAAAGTGTCCAAGTTTTCGGGAGGGTTTGGACCAAGACACATGGCAACACGCACCACCAAAATTCCGGGGGACGCCAGAGTTTTTAGTGTTAAAACTATGAGAGAACTTGAAAATTTCCAGTTTATCATTGAGATATTGAGGAGCAAGCTTAGCATGAATCTTCAGAAGCAGTACAAGCCGTCGGGCCAAACAGAGTTTATCAATAGGGTACCATCCAAGTTTACAGAAAAGGTCACGAGATCATGAGTTGGTAGTAGTTGCATCAAGAATAAGGCGAGCACATCTTTACTGTAGTTTAAATAGGTCGTGTCTAATTTTCCACTATCGCAATTACCCCAGACAGACAGACAATATTCCATCATAGGTTTGATACTAGCATTAAATAACAGAATCCGGTGTTTAGTTGATAGATATCTCTTGATTCGAGAAAACATAGCGATCCTACTGAGTAGATCTTTACGCATATTTTCAGTATGATCAGTATGTCTACACCGAGCAGACGTTCAGATTGAGATTGCGAGAACAGGTTTCCGTTGAGAACTAGGGATAGATCACCCACAGGATGGCAACAAAGTTTTTGACGAGTTCCAATAATCATATATTTAGTTTTATCTGGGCGGAGAGCCATACAGTTCTCAGTGTTCCATTTGCTGGACCACTGGACGACAACTGTCACGTGTCACCCTCTCTAAATAATTCGTCCATTCCATTTTTGATTTTAATTTACATGTAAATATGTTTTTATTGTACACCGAAATTAAAGAAGTCTCTTGTGCTGAGGCGCCTAGTTGGTCCCACGTATACACCTACATTTTACATTGAATTTTCATTATCGTACCCAGACCCTACTCACCAGCCAAATGGCTACATTCTCGTACCCAGAGTCTCCCCTCATAACGAAAACCGTAGGCTCTGGGCAACTCTGAAATTCTATCGAATTCCATTGGCTTTTGAAAATAACATAGCAACGAAGCCTGATTGGTCAATAGGATAAACGAAAATACCCGAGCGGAAACCAAAATACCAAATCGACAAAAACGGTTATATATCTTTGAGTCTTGAATCAAATTCTATTTCCATTTTTCGAACATATAAACTTTTGCAAAAGCTATTGAGAAACAATTACGGGGGGGGAGGAGCGAATTACCAGCTAGATGGTTTAGGGGTATTGACCTCAGCAGTATACAGAATAGGGGTTCTGCGACGGGTGGATCAGGGTGGATCGTGGATCAACCCTAAGAATGACGTCACCCCCATGAAATGACGTCACATCTTTCATAGTGATGTCACACCTCCTCTTCGGATAGGTCATATATATTTTTAGAACAAACCCTATTATGGCGTCATAGTTCTTGAGAAGGAATCAGAGCCGCTTCTGAGCATCCTCCTGGATTGGTCACATCTATTTTTAGAATAGTCCGAATTATGACATAATCAGACGCATGAACCAATCAGGGTCTGTTTTTAATATTCCGGAGCCTTCTCCCAAAATCCCTATCCTGGATAAGCTGTATCTATTTTTAGCTCACTGTATTATCTCCACTTTGGATTTTGTTACATGTTTCTATTTTAGAACACCTATGATCTTAGGATAGTAGAAAAGATGCAATGTTTATGAAAATAAAGTTTTCGGAACATATCCCGGTTTTATTCAACCATATTTCATAGTTATACGACGATTATGTATTCTTTCTAACATGAACTTAGAAATACCACTCTAAAGCATTTTCATCTCCTCTAAAGTATTTTATCCAAAAGCGAATTAGTACTCATTCAGCGTCTGGAGTAATCGAATTGATCATACTCAGTAACTAACAATCCTATGATATACTCCTGCTTATGATCCATTGGGTCAGGGATTCACTGCGATCCTGCGGTATATATCCTGATTGATATCTTAATCATTATTCGTCTTGGTTTTATGTTTTTCAAACAATGGGATCAGGCACGCGTCATGATTTTTCTTTTTATAAC